GGTGTCATTGAATGCCACAAAGCTTCAGTTGTGTTAAGGTCAGTAATCTTAGAGGAGCTCCTAGCAGCTGGCACTCTGTCCCTGGCTCCCAGATGATGGTGGTCCAAGGCTGTGAGAGTCCCTATGCCTGTTGCTGTGCTAAGACTCAGAGAAATTAAAGCAGCAGGAACAGAGCTGCTGAGACTGGAACAACTGAGGAAATGGCGCCTTAGTACACGCCAGTTACCTGGGAATCTCAGGATGGGAGCAGAGGGAGTTTACTGTGGTGGCTTTCACAAGCTGATCTATGATTTAGGCCTAGTTAAGTGTGTGAGCATTGGGCTGTAACCATTCCCTAAGTTACTGAGAAGAAATCTATAATACGAGCCGTACTTGGCTTCCCGCCGTGCTTTCGTGATGCAGGCTGCACTGGGGACTTGCTGTGCTTAAGGTGCTATGAATTGGATCCAAGCGTGATTTAAGGCAATTTTCTTCTAATTCACAGTCAGGCAATGGAATAGATCTGTCTTCTGAGAATCAAAAATATTAATAACTCCCTTAGACACAATTTGGAAGCAAATGAATACCTCCATTTTTTGGTGAATTTTGATAGCGTTATTTTACTGTATGGAGATGAGCTCCATTAGCAGAACACATGAATTAAAACAGAAGCAGCTTATTTGCATTGTGGTTAACCATTCTTGAGACAAGAAAGCTCATCTAGTTGTGAATATGTGGCAACAAAGATTATAAACAGTGCAATGGGGCTTAATCTTTGGGTTTTATGTTTCTACAAAATGGCTATCATACAGAAACATTTTCTTCTTACCTACGGCTGAAATTTGTCACCATGGTAACCTTCTGAGTTTGGAGAGGTGGGATGCTCTAGGCAAATATGTGGCCATAACCTCAGAAATTGTTACCCAAATTGGGTTTCATTTCTTCTCTATTTCTTTAACATCTGTGAGGTTCTTACACACTGGACAGCTGGTCATGTAACTGGATCAGAGAGAGGCCATATGGATTTAAACTCTGCTTTCTTTCTTTGAAAGGAGCATGTTTGGGGCAATTTCCTCCCTTATTCAACTGGCTCCATCCTTCCCTGGCTGCAGCTCCAAGCCCACTTGGTTCTCCAGGAACTCCTGGACTGTGCTCTGCTCCAGTGTCTGCAGTGTCACCCTGTTGCTGGGGAAAAGCAGAAATCTTGAACTGCAGCCCCAGCAGCTCAGCATTGGGGAGCCTACTATTCATTTATTGGTCTCAATATACACACAGTTTTATTTTGTTTTCTTTGATGTACATGTCTAGTAGCAAATTGAGGCCTTAAAAGGTTGAGAGTTTTTGGTGTTTTGTTTGTTTTTGTGCGCATTTGTGTGTGTGTGTGTGTGTGATTTTTCTGTTTGGTTGGGTTTTTTTGTATTTTGAAGAGAAAAAAACCCTCACACAAATGTGATTAAAATTTCTTAAAATGAAATTATTAAAGCATTAGAGAACCCTTGCCCACAATATTGTGTCATTGCAATATTATTTGAAGGACATGCCACCATCTTGATAATTTAACTTCTGATTTTTATTTTCCATTTATATGTCAAATTCCTACACATTGCTTGCCAGTGTTCTCTTTCTGGGTTTTAGGTTGCAATAAAATGGAGGAATTTGTGATTAAAACTCTGGACAAAGGCTGTGCAGACTGCAGTTGCCATTAGTGAACTACTGACTCTGCCACTAACTCCAGAGATAACCATGACTGAGTCATTGCATGTCTTTCTGCCTGAGTTTCTAGTTTGTAGACAACAAACACTCTGTCTTCTCTTTTTCCCTGTTGTGTGGGCATACAGTGTGGCAAGTGCTGGTGTCAGGGATGTTCTTAATCTCTGCAGTAGTGCCTTGATTTTATCTGAAGCTTCTTGGTGTAGCTAATAAATAAACAGTAAATAAAAATGATTCAAGGGCATGAAATAACAAGCAAAGTGGTGACCCTACCTGTTTGTTTGCTTTTTGAGAAGCTCCTGGCCTGCCACAGGAGCTATCAGTCAATAAGGCCTTCCCATCAGAGTACACTCACTCCTTTCTTCTCCCTGTGACTGATGTTTAAGTCTTTTCTTTCCCCTGGAGGGTGGGGGCAATAAAAAATATTCCTTCATGTTAAGGCAGGGTGTGTTTGAAAGTGTTATCTGGCCTGGGCCAACTCTGGCTTCTGTGCCTCTCTTTGCTCCTTTGTAGCCATCTGCTAATCTGAAGTACCTCACCCTTAACTAGCGGAATCAAGTTTAACAGCCTCAGAGCCATTGGCAGGCAGAGGGGAGAATCCTTCAGGGCAGTTTGAGGTCCACTAGGTCCACTTTTTGGCACCTAGCACATAAGGCTGAGTCGACTATAAATATGTAGACACCACCACACTGCTGTCCCAGTAGGGCCTGGGGGCAGAGAGCAGAATTTTGGGGATTTTACACGGCAGAAGAATATGAAGCACAAAAAATAGTTGTGTTCACAGGTCGACGTCCACCATCTCTCTTCCTTGACACCATCTTCTCTCTTTGTCAAGAGCGACGCAGCTCTTGAAAGGGGAGAAAGATGTGCTGAGGCTGCAGTAAGCTCTCAGTGTCTCCTACCCCCTTTCCCCTCTTCTGCTGTACACACCTCTCCTTTCATAGTGTTTTGAGTGGAGGAGTGGATCACAGACTGTTATTAGGGAAAGGACCTTGCCATTATAGACCCATCTCCCAGATTACCAATATCCCTTGCATCTGCAGAACTGGGTAGGGAAATTCATAAGAATGTGTTTTTCACTGAGAGATTTCTGGAGACACCTTCCTATCAAAATGTAGTACCTGATTATAAAATGGCTCCCTCCAAAGCGAGTATCTCCCAGTCAACTTCCCCAAAATTTAAGACAGGGAGGAAGGGGAAAAGCAATGATTTCAAGTTATCTGAACTCTTTTTCAAGTCACTTAAATTGTTTGCAGGCTCAGACTAGCATGGGGGATGAGTGGAGGTTGTGCTGGATGCCTGTTGCATTCAGATAAATTGCTCCTCTCCCCAGAGCTCCATCTCTTGTGTGCAGCCAAATCATGTGTGTTTGCAGGAGACAGTATGCTTGTGTTTCTCCCACGACCCTGCTGGCTCATTAGTGTTATTTCTGGAGGTCTAGTTTCCACAGTAACAAGCAATTACCATTGTTCCTTGGACTGCCAAAGTTACCACCAGCAACGCAGAGGAAGATGCGTTATTCTCTATATTGGGATAAAATGCCTTCATATGTCTTGCTATTCACTGAATGCCAATCTTGACGCAGGTCCTGTGCAAATAGCACACTCCACCCCCTGCCAATGCTGCTTTTCCTGGTATTAAGACATGCCAGATTTTGAAACAATCCAAAATGATCTCCTCTGGTCTGTGGCTACACTGGCAACGACAGGGTCAGGATTTCAGCAGCAGGATGACTGTACCAATGGGTAGGAATATAAATAGAATAGCTTGGAGGCAGTTCTTTTTGCAATTGTGCTTAGCCCTGTTCTAAGTAATGCTGGCTAGTGACGTCAATGAAATATATACTCTCTGTCTTTACCCTATAGCTTCTACCAGTACTGTGGTGGAGCTCCCATATAGGAATCTGGTGGTCTTATGTTAGCAGGATCTGTGTCTGTGCTGCACAATCCTTCATCATCCCCAAGGAGCAATGTGTGTGCATCAGCTGCACCCATTTCTTCCATCCGTGGTTTCTCCTTTCCCTTTTAACTATACATTTCACACAGACTGATTCATCTAGAATGGCCTTTAAACCCCATAGAACATATCCTGAATTTCATGCACATATCAAAAAAGTAAGCAGCTGGGAAGCTGAAGGAATGTGGGCTTTTGCAGGCTAGAGAAGTGGGGTACTGGAATGCTGGGGCCACTAGATTAGGTTTCATGGCTTGGAGAGTTTTTATGGCTTTCAGTGACTCCAGTTTCCAAGTGTGACTACATATTCTTAAAAGCTCTGGGGTCCCATTGTAAGCTCTGAGCTTCTCTTCACAGGCTTTTCTTGTGAATGGGTGTATCTGTGGATCTACATATACACACCCACTTGCCCAAATGACTAATAGTAGGTGTTGGAGGGAGAACACAGCCTTTAGCCTCCATAAACCAAAGCACGAAGTCTTCCTCCAAGGAAGCTGAAGCAAAGACATCAAGAGAGGCATTTTAAAACTGAGGAACTGCCTTTTGTGAAAGGTCTTGGAAACACCTGCACTGGAGATTTTTAAAACCTGGACTTACCAGAGAAGGTAGAAGACAGTATCCTATCAGGTCACTGTATGAGTGTAGGAGGGTGACAACAAACAAAAAGGGTGCTGCTTTGACAGCTACCAAAATTGTACTGCTTTAGATGCCCTTGAGGAAATAAAAATCCAACAGCAAACATACTGTCTTTTCATGGGTTGGAGAAAGGGATAGGCAGAGACAGTTGGTGATAGGGTCCTTGATTCTTTTTTCTGATTAAAGACCCACCAAGTCTGTGAAATGGAGGTGGAAGAAGGAGTCAAACACAACTGGAAAAAAAGGGCATGTATGTCACATATCCATTTTAGAGGCCAGGCCTAATTTTTAAGTATCTCTTAATTAGTAGGACTGAAGTGTTAGAAAGTTATTCTGTTTTCTTGGGGGCTTACCACTGAGTGAAGGCATCATCAGAGAAAGGTTAAGAAAATAACCTTGGGCATATGAGAGTGGTCCTATCTAATCCAACCAGCTTCTCTTCTCTTCTTTTCTGTTGCATCCTCCTAAACCTTTGGATTTTAGCACAGTCTGTATGATGGGGAAAAAAGAAATAAATTTTAATAACCTTATTTTCCACACATAAATCAGAATCTGGTGTTTAGTTCTAGGTGACAGCTTGGGTGGTTCATAATGAGCCGAATATTTTAAGGAAAATACTCCCATCTCAAAAATAATCTAAGCCTTTGCTCTTTATCTGTGAGCTCCAGGGCACCCACTGGCATCCCACCCTTGTGGTGGGGTGGTGTGCCGAGCTGGCCGACAGACACTAGGTGGAAGCCTTGGGCTGCGGTTCCATCGCAGCTGCTGACGGCAGGAAGAAGACTTCTGCTTTCAGAAAGGAGATATTTTTCTTTTCTTCTTGCTTTCACGTACTAGAAAGGGAAGTCCAAGCTCTCCAGGTGCGCAGTGGGTGAACGGAGGAATGGAGGAGAAGTGTCAGTCTCATCCCGGGTCCTCCCTGCAACAGGATCTTGTGAGCAGGGCTTCAGTGGGAGCACTGAAGCCTTCTGAGTTCTTGGGTGTGGTTGGGTGGCAAGAATGATTTAATTTATCCTGATTTATTTTATCCTCATTTATATATTCTGATGGGGATAATATTGAGATCTCTGTGAATGCATAAAAAAGTATTAATATTGAGATGAAAGTGAGTACTGATGAGCTGAGTTATCTTGCAACAAATGCTGGTAAAACCAGCTCCTATGAAGTGCATGCTATATTTATGATGATTGCTTTCAACAAGGCCTCCAATCTTAAAACTATTCCAAATAGGGAGATTTAGAGTTAGTACAAAGAATTAATGACAGGTTAAGTGAGAACCAGATGAAACTTGAAATGTTCATTTGAGAGAAATGTCAAAGTTTATGATTTTAAGGCTTCTTGTTACTTTTAGTGATAAAAATACTGTTTGCAGTGTATTCCTAGGAATGAAAAATTATGAACAATTCCATTAGATACTTTTAGAAAAATAACTGCTATTTTTTTTTTGAAAATTAGTTAAATTTCAGTACCATTTCACATATCAGTTGTAATGCAGACTTAGGTTATGCCAAGTCAAGTCTCATATGAGGGCACGTTATGCAATCCTACCAGCAATATAGCATACCATGAATATAATAATTAAATATTCTGTTATATAATTTAGTACAGGTGATATTTTATTTTCAAAACAAGTGATTTTTCTACCAATTAATGAGTTTTCTATCAAAAGCGATAGCAGCTTTATTAGTCCGTGCTGAAACAATTTAGATTTTTACACTCTGAAATAGAAATGTTCTGGGTACTAGTTAGGGACCAATTGTTTTTAATATCCTAGAAACCTGATTCCAGACTAATGCCACAATACTGAACATGTCAGTGTCTCTCATTATTAACTGAAGAATGTAGAAACAATACAAACAGTAAAATATGGTAATATTTTATCAGAAAATAAGAGGTTTGCTTTCAAAATTAGTATTTTAATTAGAAAGAAAATCTTGCATTTTTTTCTTTAAGGGAAACTTTTCAATACTGAAATTTTTATTTCAGCCTCCTTTTCCATGGGGATTTTTCTTTTGTATTTATAATTTTTTGAAAAATGTTGATTTTTTATCAAAATGGTATTTTCTAATTCAAGACTGTTTCAATTAAAATCTTCTCACTAGTGTGAGCTGTTATGACACTCTCCTCCTCCACCCTCTGAGCTGTGGTAAAAGGGTGAGTGAAGTTATTGATTTATCTTTCTTTATTTTATTTTTTAGTGCAATGACTTCAAGAGCTCCGTGGCTGTTCTGCAGACAGATGCACAATTGTGAAACATCAATATGGACTGCAAATCTCTACTGTCAGTTAGCTCCTCTTCCCCTCTGCATAACATAATCCCTATCTCCACAATGCCTGCACAGATACACATTTGCAAAGATGTTTTTCTGGAGATAGTGTGCATAGCAAACATTCCCTTACTTGTTCTCATCTCTAGCAACATTATATGGAGTTTCAGTTCACAGTTCACTGTGTTCCACCTCCTACCACTGAAATGCAGCCAACTCTGAGCTGTGGCTATTAAACATCACACGAGCAACAGCACAAAACAGATTGTGCAAAGCAAAGGAATTCATAGAAAAGCAACAAATTGAGTGAGGTCTGCAAAGGTTGTCTGGGAAGTGATAACAAAGGATCATAGGGAATGAATTAATTGTGATGCAGAATAGCCATCACCATGATGTTCAAGTGATACCAGTATGCAAGGGTGAGTTTTTGAGGGTGGCACAAAGAGATGTTACTAGGAGCAACCAGTTTTCAGCCAGGGAGACAAACAGATCAGCTTCCCTAACCACTGAGTTTTGTCAGACTGCCAGACTCCCAAGGAAAGGGCTGCAGGCATCATTGCTTGAGGGTTTTAAAACTGGTCCTAGTCTCAAGACAGGACAAGGCACTATCAGGACAGATGAATAAAACAAGATGGAGCAAGTAGCCGTACCTATCCCCACTTTGTATGAGTCTGAGAAAACAACTGGGAGAAAGATGGCAAGGTCTGAAGGAATCACATGTAGAGAGTTAGAAAACAGTGTGAACTGGTGTGACAGTAGCTGTGACATGGCCAGGAAAAAGCTTCCAAAGACAGTGCTCTTCTTTGACAACATGATGACCTTAGAGTGAGAAAGGACGAAAAAGAGGAAGATGTGCAATGAATCAGAGGAAAGAGAAACGTGTGTGAATGTATGTAGCTGTTTATGTGTCTGTGTAGCACAATAGGAATTTCCTTCAGATAGAATAAAGCATTGTAGGTGTCTGTATCTTTTTTTCCCTAGACTAAAGGCTGCAAGAGGGCACCTTGGCACAAAACTTGCACATGAATTCTTGCTGCTTTAGGTAAAATCATGAGTGGGGAAGGTTGCCAGACACTGTCACTGAGCATTCAATGGACAACTAAGAAGCAACTGCAAAAGTCTGTTCCCAACTCAAGTTGCATAGCAACAGTAAATCGTCAGATTGCTGTTATGTCAGTCCCTTACATTATCCCCATTATTACAGCCATTTTTAGGAATCACGCAATATGATGTTACTAGCCCACTCCCAACCTGCATGTTTGACCTTTGTCTCTTGTTGAATGATGCCATGTAATTTGCTGCAAAGGTGTCTTGAAGTAGCATACTGTAGAGAAGAATCCCTGAGGATCCATCAACAGAGACCTTAGGGAGCAATGGATGTGCATGTGCAGGATGGCGCAGGAGAGACAGATTAGGGAACAGCAATATCCTCAGAGAAATCTAGTGCCTGCCAAACTCGTCAGGATGTATGTTACCCCATCACTTCTCTGAACTGAGTCTTCATTGATCAAATTGAAAGGCTATTTTGAGGAGTGAGCCACAGTTGCTCCTAAGATATGTGTTTCAAATGCTTCCAGTGCACACTTGTGCTTGGTGTTTGGATCACTCCTGTGGACATTGATGCTGTGAAATCCTAAGTTCCAGCCAGCTGTTTCCTGCTTTTCAAGGTAAGTACCTTGTGAGCTGTTTCATGGTGGAGATGCTGAAGCACAAAAGTAGTCACAACATAATCATCCTGTGATGTTTCAGACACTGCCAGTATCTGAACCAATACCTAGAAGTCTGAAGGACTTGCAGGATATTTCTAGTATCCTGCATAATTTCTTTCCTGGATGTCTTGTGTAGCACAGCATCCTCCTCCCTTTTTCACTCTATTGCTGCTTCTTTTGCTGGCACAAGATCCTGAAGTGCCCCTGCCATTTCTTTGCAGCCAAGGCAACCAGAGTCACTGGATATCAAGGCATAGCTGGTGTTTGAATGATGCAAATAAATGGAATGAGCTCCTTTACTGCAAACGTCAGACTGACATGGATTTAGGACACCAGGTAGAGTGAAAAGTAACTTAGAGGCCTCTTGCACTAGATGATGGGGGAATGGCCTGCTTAAGCAAGTAGTTCTCAGTAAAGTATCTCCTTTCTGAAGAGTGCCTAGTTGTAAACTATACCAGCATTTACAAGATCACCACTGCAAATTATGAACAAGCAAACAGACCTCAGAAGGACAAGATAGACTACCTGTCCCCTCTGTATAGAGTAATGGAATTATTCTGCTTCATTAAAAGAACTGATGAGAAAACAAGGAGCCTCAAGATTCAGTTCCTCTATGTTTCTGTGCCCAGAATGCAGAGCACACTAATGGCAGAACACCTGGACTAGGAGCTGCAAGTCACTCTTGCTTGATATTAAGGGGATTGAGCTCGGACAAGGTCTAACACAGCAGATGATAAATGTCCAGGCATGACATTGTTAAAAGAGATCTGATGGCCATGGAGTTACCCTTGACAAAGGAACATCTCTTGAATGCAAAATAGCTTAGCAATCCTTACAAAGAAGGAACAAAAGCTGTTTGTCTGATTTTCACCTTTTTCCCTTTAGTACTCCCATGAACAAGAACTGCTGGATGGGACACTCCAAAGAGCTTATTTCTCCAGGAGAAAGTCTCCTTCTCTTTTCCTGTATTTTAGATTTATCTTGCTTCCCCCTGAGGATGAAGGATTTGAATCATTAGTGAGACAGCAGGTGTAGGAGTGGTCACTGGTACCCACCAGCTTTGTAGCTCAGTCATCCTGAGGGCCACCTTAAGGAAGGATTTATCCAAGGACCCTGCAGAACAAATAGACTTCAATGCCCTGTAGCTGCTCCACATGTGTTTGTTGACAGCCCTGGTAGTTCAGTGAAGGAATCAGTACTGAATTTTAGGCTGTGTCAGCTAGACTGAAGAGTTTTGTGTCTGTTTGTTCCTTGCTGGCATGGACTGTTTGGAAGTACAGATACAAGACACTGTTCCATGGGGCTGACTGATGTTTGGTAATTGTTATGGCTTTCTCTTTTTAACTTGGTCATCTAGTTTATGGTGGAGATAGAGCTGAGGGTCCTCACTGATGAGTGAGGATTCTTTTGTCAGACCTTACGCTATAGTCAGACCTCTGGAAGATTTCTCTCCATGTATCTCTATTAGTTTCAGTCTGTGTGTGTTACCAAGTACCATCTTTGCAGTGCCTAAGCTTTATTTGACAATCTGAGTTTCCCATGGCCTTTTGAGGCTAACATTTTGCAGGCTAAAATGTGCTGAATAAGGACAAATGAGAAATGCAAAAGAAGTGAAAACAGTCAGGTTTTAAAGAAAATCATCTTTTGTCAGCATTGTTTGCATGTGTGCTCATTTCTTATAAACATTCAAAGGCTCAAGTTTCTTGTTTCTAGTATATATGGAAAACAAATGTCAAGACTGCATATGAGTACTTTCCATAAATTAATATTAAATGTGCCGACACATTTCATCTCAAAGTGTTTGTACACTCTTCTTTTTCAGAAAGCAGAATAAATAATGATCAAAATCACCACCTAGAGCTGGTGATTTCTATCTGTAGATATGAAAATGCTCTACAAGGAAGGTCAGGATCATAGCCTGCAATTTTACAAATGGGACACACTTCCTCAGTAAAGCTACTTGTCTGGTAGTCACAGAGCTTCCACCTCTGTACTGAACCTGCAGAGGCAAGTGCAGATGCACATTTGGTTATTTTCTCTTCTGTCCTTGACTGCCCCATTTAAAAGAAGTCATTCACCCTTTCACTTATTGCTCAGGACGTGAGGCTGTCCATCACAGAATCACAGAATCAACTATGTTAGAAAATTGAGATCATTGAGTCCAATCTATGACCAAACACCACCATGTCAACTAGACCATGGCACTAAGTGCCACATCCAGTCTTTCCTTAAATACCTTCAGGGACGGTGACTCCACTACCTCCCTGGGCAGCTCATTCCAATGTCCAATCACTTTTTTTGTGAAGAAATTCTTCCTAATGTCCAACCTAAACCTCCCCTAGCACAGCTAGATACTGTGGCCTCTTGTCCTATTGCTCATTGCCTGGGAGAAGAGAATGACCCCTACCTGGCTACAACCTCCTTTCAGGCAGTTGTAGAGAGTGATAAGGTCTCCCCCAAGCTCTCCAGGCTAAGCAACACCAGCTCCCCTACCCACTCCTCATAAGACTTGTACTCCAGACCCTTCACCAGCCTCGTTGCCTTTCTCTGGACATGCTCCAGCACCTCAATATCCTTCCTAAACTGAGGGGCCCTGAAATGGACACAATACTTGAGGTGCAGCCGAACCATTGCCACGTAGAGGGGAAGAATCGTTTCCCTAGTCCTGCTGGCCACACTATTCCTGGTACAGGTCAGAATCACTACCCAGCACAGGCTGCCATCCATCCTGTCTGTGCGTGTGTACTTACTGGCATGTATTTTCTCTCTATCTCTCTTCCAAGGAGGAACTGAAGTCCTTGCAAATGTGCCTTGCTGCTTTCCTTCAGGTCACCTCTACTTCTGCCTTCAGTGCCCCTCACTGCAAAGGGTCTTTTCTCCCCTGCATCTTTTTTGAGCTGGCCAGAGGCCTCCTTCAGCAAATTTCCTAGCAGAAGAGTCCTGATTGTGTGCTTGTGTATTCTGTACCTCTCCTATTGTACTTGTCCTGTTCTCAGGGCTCTCTCATCTTCCAGGGCAGTCAGAGGAAAATTTGTAGTTCTGAGTCCTCTCTGCTTTCTTTTGTGGGTTTTCCTCCTGACAGTCCCTCAGACTGTGCAGAGATGCAGGAGGGTTATAAGGTGACTGTGTTGTTTGCTGCCAGGGCAGATTTTGATAATGGGTTTTACAAGGTTCCCTAGGAGGATGAGCTTGGTAGTGGTTTAAGAAATGAAATTTAATCAGAAGGGACTTGATCAAAATATCTAACATGTATCAGGAGAGGTCTTGTTTGGAACACCTCTTCTTTGTGTCTTTCCAGAAACTAGCAAAGGGTAATTCAGAGAAAAATTGGCCAATACAGTACTCAGCTACTTCACACAGTGGTAATTAAACCATGAGGCACATTGCCACTGCATGTGCTGGAGACCACAAACTAAAGTAAAAAATCCCAGTAGCTCCTTGGAATAAGCCACGTTCCAGATTCCTAGGAATTAAAATGTTTATTGAGCTACCCTGTACAACTTCTTTTCAAGGGCTCTGAAGACACCACCAGCTCTGGCTGTCCCTGGCCAGCATCTCCTGGGGCTCCTCCCACCATGCCCAGGTCCCAGGATCCCAGCCGCCCAGAGCCTCTGCCCAGTGATTCTGTATCAGTGCTGCTCTCCAGCTCCCACAGCCCTGCCCTGCCTGGTCATAGTCCCATTGCACCGGACAAGTACCTGATGCTGAGGGATGAGTTTGCTCCTGGTACCCCCCAGATGCCCTGTTCCTCAGGTGGGCTGTAGGGATGTCCCTGGGGAGCCTCCAGTCTTCTTAGGGCCCTGGCACTTCTTACACAGTTTGGTGAGGACGTTACTAGACTGTAGGCTGCATCCTACTCTATTTGTGTAGTTTATCCTAAGCCCTCTAAAGTATATACCATCACATACCATAGCCAGTAACATTTTTAAAG